CGGTGTGTAACGTCGTCATCTACACCCCCATCTTTATGTATCATAGACCCTAGGTACTTGAAATAATCATTTGAGGGGAGAACGTGTCCTTCGATGCATACTTCTACATCTTCATCGTTTTGGTTCCCACTGAAGTTTGAACATAAATACTTTATCTTTTCAATATTGATCCTTAGACATTTTTCTTCCAAAGCAGTCTTCCAGGTAGTCAGTCTACTATTCAGCTTATTTTTTGTTTCAATAACTAGGACAATGTCGTCAGCAAAAATCATACACCATGGAATACCGTTGGTGTCACACAACAGATGTCATCCATAATCAAGGCGAAGATGTAAGGGCTAAAGCCGACCCCTGGTGGAGTCCGATTTCATCGGGAATGCCTCGGTGTCGCCAACTGTAGTCCTGACGTAAGTAGTAGATATGCAGTACATATCACGAATCGCCCGTATATAAGCAGTTGGGATCCGTCTCGTTTCCAAGGTCTTCCACATCGAATCGCGGGGTACGCTATCATACGCCTTCTCAAGGTCAATGAACGTCATGTGAAGATCTCTATTTTCCCCCTATATTTCTCCATAAGCCGTCGAAGTAGATGAATCGCCTCCGTAATAGACTTGCCTGGCATAAAGCCAAATTGGTTTTCTGAAACCCTAGTAACGTGTCTCAACCTAGCCTCTATCACCCTTTCCCATAGCTTCATGGTATGATTGAGTAGTTTAATACCTATGTACTTACCACAACGTAGGGATGGCAACGGGCCGGGTATTAGTCCCCCTGTCCTTGTTTAAAAAACCCATACCCGTCACCGCTTAAAAAATCGCGGGGATTTAAACGTGGATCCCCATCGGGTAATCGGGAAAAACCGCAGGGAAACGGGTATCCCCGTTTAGCATAAACGGTTATTTAAATGAGTATCGGGCCGGGTATATATATATATTTTAAATTAAATATATAAATATTATATATATTTTTTAATTTAATTTAATTTATTAATATTATATATATATATATATAATTATTTTTAATATTTATCTAGTCGGGTATCGGGGCGGGGATTACCAAACCCGTCCCCGTCCCCGTTTAGCATAAACGGTTTTTCTCCGTCTCTGTTTAATTCGATTTTCGATTTTTCCCGTCGGATTCGGGTTTTTTTGCCATCCCTACCACAACGTTAGGGTGTGTCAGATTTTTGGTAAGTTTGAAATCGATTTTGAGTAGTATAAATTCGACTAATTAAGCATCTAATTAAGCATCTAATTAGAAACACCACCCCATTGGTATAATAAGAAAATTATCCCAATATTTTAGTCTCAATATTTTATTTTAGAACAAAATATTCTCTTGTTTAATGAAAATAGCTAGTTAACCATTTCTATTGATGTGGTAGGTTCCCATGTGATGTCACTAAAAGAATTATTTTCAAATATATTTTATAAGTATATATGTAATTAATTATAGTTATAGTTTACTTTAAAAAATATTTTTTTGCCGACATGACATCTTGTGTGAACTTGCCATGTCGATAGAAAATATTAACCGTTAGTCAATTAATGATTTTCATCCAACCAGGAGTATTTTGGTCCAAAATAAAACGTCAAAGGCTAAAATAATCTAAAAGAATAATTAGGAACGAAGTGATTATTTATACGAAAGCTAGAGACAATTTCCTACCATACCTTGTTATATTTCAGTTTAAGTATTACTCATTTTGTAATTGTAATATTCATATCTGTTAAAAAATAACAAATACTAAACTTGTAAATTTATTTTAATAAAATAATTTCATTTTATGATTTTAGTATAATTTTTTAACACGTGAATATAAAATCGTCTAAACACCATAATTTTTATGATTTTTTCATCCTTAATAAGAGGGTAGATTATTTTAAAAATAGATACTTAAAAAGTATATAAAGTATTAGTATTTTTCGTTTAAGTATTTAAATATTTTATATATATATATATATATAATATACCACATTTTATAATTTGAGTACTTATAAATTATCATATGACATTGATATAAAAGTACTTTAGATATCTAGATGAAAAATATAATATTCTTTAAATATTTACTTTGAAAAAGAACATTTTAGATTAGGAATGTTTATGAGTCGAGTCAGGTCAAATTTTGGCCGACTCAAATTCGACTCGATTGAATATTATATATCTATATTTGTCATATGATTCAATTTAGATCTAATTTTCGATAAAAACCTGCACTTGATCTAACACAAATATCTATAAAAAAATATCTTTTTTATTAGGTAAAATAGGGACCTTATTGAAAAAAATATAAAGAGAGTATTATTCTAATCATCTCTAAACATATAATAGATAATTATATTATTATATGAGGTCAGGCCATGCCAGATCGAATTGAAATTTTTCATCCTAAACTCAAACTCGTTTCGACCATACCATTCACAGAGCCCGACAACCTTTTAAATGACCTTATAAGATTAGGTCGGACCTAAATCCCATTTTAAGAAAACATTTTAGATACCCACTCTAATAAGAAAACAATTGAAGTACTTAAATGAAATAATAGTATAATTTAAGGGGCATCTATTTTTGAATCGAGCCTAAAAGGTAAGGAAGATTCCCTCACACTATCCTTGCATTAAATACAACATACATATGAAGATGGAACTTCTACCCCCATGACCTATGCAAAAAACGAAAACCATTTGCATACACATTTGATTCTGCATCTCCAAAGCTGCAATGATACTGTCGACCAAAGAAGCAAAAAGGAATAATCCCCGAGTCCGGGTTTAGGGTTTGTCGATTAAAAAAAGAATTTAGGGTTTCATCCAAACATACTATAAGAAAAAGAACGAAAGTTTATAAAAAAGAATGGGTTTAAAATTTATAAAGGAGGTATCCAAACCAACTCCACCAGCCATTGGACTGTAAAACATGCAAGCTTAACTGTGCGCACACGTTGTGATTATACATATTCAGGGCATCACCCACCTCTCTTGTGACCATCTTTTCATTGTCAGCCACCTAAACCCCACTCCCCATCATTTCCCTCAAAGCTTTATCATTCACATTGGATACGAATTCGATGAATTCTGATTAGATTCGATTTTGTAGAGTTAATTCTTTTTAAATACTTGAATTTGAATTTATGTTGTGTTGAATTTTTACTTTTGGTCGATGATAATGAGTTGGATTAAGTCGAATTTAATTTTAAAATGAAAAAATCTCAACATTTCGAATCCGGTGTGGGATTTTATCTAACAAAAAAATTATTAATCTTATATATATATATATATATCGAGTCCGTGTAAAATTTTACACTAAAATTTGAGTCTGATTTCAAATCGAGTAAAACTTCTCTAAACATAATTTAATCGAGAGTGACATGTGAAGAGATAGAATATTTGAGGCGAATAAAATCTTCCTAAACTCAAGTCAAATCCCCAAAATTTAATAATGCCATTACAAAGTAAATATATTAAATTATACTAAATTAACTTGGAAATTAGTCTCGAATTCCAGCATGGTAAAAGGTTTAAAATCACAATTAAACTTGTATTCGGAATTAAGTCAACCTTTAAACTAAGTAAATTAACTTCATTTTACATAATCTCTATTAACAACAACGATTGTTTTAACGGTAATTATTTAAAACTAAGTCGGAGTTTAACCCTTAAACTAAATATATTAGTTTTTTTAAAACTTATATTTCTTTAACATTTTATTTAAAAATATCATATTTTAATATCATTTAATCTAGTAAGAGTCGGTAACCGTATTTAATTTTATATAAAAGTAGAAGCGTAGAAGGGCAATTTCATGAATTCAGCCAAAGGGAATCAAATGACAAGAAACAAGCAACAAGCCCCATAAGCAATGGATATATTGAGAGCAGTGAGTATCGTTTCAAGAGGCGATAAGACATCAAACCCTGACTTATAGAATGATAAAGAGTTCAGTGTTCCTTAAATGAGATTTTACGTTCGGATTTTATAGACGATAGATGATCGAACACCGTATGAGTCTCGAGAAATATCAAAAGAGATTGACCAACGAAAAAGAAGAAGAAAAAAGGAAAGAAGTACACAAGAGAGTGGTCCAAGAAACTCCACGGGACACGAGAGATCCCTATCTAGAAGGAGGTGTCTCGAGATGCATGGGTGTGTAGGAGGCAAGGGGGAGCATAAAATGCTCTATTTTGTCAACTTTTATAGTTTTGTTCCATGGGGGACAAGAGGCAGAAATTAAGGTACCAAATGGTGCAATCTCGAAGACAATAAACATGCTTCTACGCCTACTTAAATTGCACAAAACAAGACCCCCCCCAATCTTGAAAACAATGGAATTTTGGGGAACAAAAGATCACTAAGGTATCACTGTTTCCTACATTTTACTTTAGGTTAAAGCTCCTAAATGGTCACCGAACTATGTTTTTATTATTCAAGTTTTGAAACTTTAATGACAATTTTATAACTTTTGGGGCTAAAAATGTATTTTACCCTTGGCTTTAATAAAGATATAGAATCATTAACATATAAACAAATATATAAAGAGACAAACAATCCAGGATGGTGCTTTAAAAGTTGAAACTTTTAATGGAGTAAATTAAGGGCAATGAAAGATCCCTTTTGGTTACACAAATAAGCAAATAGGGTTATATGCTATCAAAATTATACCATCATTTTTCTCATTTTCTCGATCCGATCTGACCCGGTAAAATGGTTTCTGAAGTTCGACCGGAACTACCTGACACTAGCCCATTTATTCCCCAAAAAAATTCATGCAACGTACGGATTCTCTTAGATGCCATATCCATGCATGCATTGTGCACTCCACTGATCGGTGATTAGGCCCGAGGGTTATGGATCAACAGTACTAAATTACACGATCGTAATATCAGCAAAATCCACAACCACGACATCACGATCGTATTCGTAATTTAGTACTATTTGTGGTATTATTGCTTTTAGAGAAGCTATGTGGTGATAATGTATAACTAATTAATCCTTAAATTAGTGCCAAGAGGATACAGAGAAAAGGGGACGATGCTGCCAACCTAGGAAGAAGCAGTTGTTGTGAACTTGAAGTTGGTAACCCTCCGATGGATAATGGATTCTGAGGAGAAGCTTGGCCTGTGAGTGTGCGAACGGGCTCAATGATACATTTGAAAACCCTGAGCTCCTCAGTATAACTTCCCATGTCTCGAGCCTCTCATGCCGTTCCCTTCGATTCTCTCCCTCGGCAGCCACTATGTCCACGATCTCCCTCCCGAACCATATCTGTTCCATGGCTAGTCTTTCCCTGCTGTTCGGCGGAAGAGTTGCTTCTAAAGAATCGAACACCGCCGTGTAATAGTCCAAGGCCTCCACGAATCTTTGAAGGAATAGCGGGTGGTTGTGGTTCGCTTCCCTTTCGGCGACGGTCACCACGGTGGGGTTCAAGGCCTTGATGTTGTGAAGGAAGAGCCGCAGGTCAATAGAGTCGTCTTTCAGCAACCTGTGTAGGTACAACATGCATTGACCGCCAGTGCTTCGTTGGGAAGGATTGTGACCATGGAATGAAGGTTTCTAGCTATCCAAGAAGGATCGTCGTTGAGGATCAAAACAGGGTTGAACTGAAACCTAAGCCCCAACGACTGCGCGAACTTGTAAAGGCGGTCGCCGGTGCGGTAGAGTATGTTCAAATCGTGGCCTGTTCCGGTTATTCGGAGCATCGGTGGGGGGCGGATCGTGTTGGCGGAACGCTCGGCTAACGCCTGCATCAACGGAGGCCATTGAACGCCGTGAATGATATCAAAGTCTAGTATGTGAATGCACTGCCGTTGCCCTAATTGTATGACTTCGAGAATGGCCTGGTTCGCCGTCAGATGCGCGAATCTAATGAACGGGGTCAGTTGGTTTAACGAAAGATAACACGATTGCAGCGACGGATCGATGCCGGTGACGGCGCTGGTCGCGGTGATCGGGAAGTTGATGTTGTTCATCATCAGCTGCAGGTTCGAACCAGGACCGTGAAGACGACTGATGCGGAGAGAAAGTGCTTTGGCAAACTGATGCACTAATCTTTCTATGGAGTCTCCATAAGCGGATGAGTTCGAGCATAATATGGATAGAAGACGGATAGCAGCCGGGAAATCCGATTGAGACACGAGCTCGGCGCAGCTGATGAGTAGTTGACGCATTTGCATAGCTTGACACGGCCACCGGCGCCCCTGCTGGTGGTTGTGGTGTAGCTCTGGGGCAAAGATATCCTCCTCCTCTTGTTCGTTGAAAGATAATGAAATCAATGAGCTCAACATATGTATGTCAAATCAGTAAATGAACCTAAAATTGAAAACTACATACACACATATATATATATATATATATATCATATGCACAGACAGAGGCAACATACATGAGTAAAACTAGCAGATGCTGGGCATCTGAGAGTGTGTATATATATAGCTAAGTAGGGAAATGATAAATAGGACAAATGAGTAAGTGGGTTGGGTTTGCCATATATATATATATATATTCGAGTGATTATGGTTATGGGAATGGTTTTAAGTTTTAACGTAAGATTTACTAATGAAAGCTGCTGATGAATGCTGATGATGATGGAACATTATCTGCCAACAACAGGGAAAAACTGATGCTTTGTAGTAGTTACTAATACAAATAGTAGGCTTCTCCCTCATGCATATACAACATTACTTAAGAGGACTAATAAATATAGCAAATTATTGACCTCACCTTATTTGGAGTGCAGATATGAATTCTAACTTGTACCCGTTACTATATTTTTGTTATCGAGCGTTGAAATCTCTTAAGTTTGTTGAAGTCTCTACAACTTTATATCTTTGATAACTATAGTCTTTTGACATGACCATGGATAATTCCGTGTGATTTGTAATATAATATTTAATAGTTAAATCTATTTAACATGTCATCAATTATCCTACGTTTGAAACTAACATCAAAGGTAATATAAGTCACCATACAAACGAATAGAAGAGGACTCTCTCTCTCTCTCTAGTGTTCCCTCTCTAAATGTCTCTCTCGACCATTATTTATTGTCATATGCTGCCTACTCTCTCTTTCTCTTCTATGAAACAATTGACTATGACTCACTACTCAAATAAGAAGTAAACCGTCAACAATCATCACAATTCCACTTTTCTCATTAGCATAGCTCAAATTCAAACATCTGTCTCGATTAATCCAAATCCAAGTCGACTCGAATTCTAACTAATCTCAAAATAGTTAAAACTCGAAACAATCTAAACACATAAAATCTAAAATGGACAAAATTTAATGTGATTATAACCCTAAATGTCTAGACCCGTTGTAACTCAATTGAACTCTGATGATCTGAACTCGAAACTGACACAAACCAACATCTAATCCAATAGGCTGACATGTTTAGGCTCATCATTAAACTAAAAGTCTGTTGGTTGGTAACGAATGAATCGAAAAACGAATTCTCTTCACGCATTCAACCCTTACATTACTTGTGCGAAAGGAACTTGAAAATGAGTTAAAAGCTTGGCACTGGCTTGTACTTTGTATATTACTAGGCGTTACATATGCATGGAAAATGACTCTTGCATGTTCTACCGATATATATACACGCGCGCGACCGGAGGAGTTCGTGCACATATAGAGATAACCGTACAGTCAGTAGCAGATTCAGAAATATTTTTGAGCGTGGACATTCACGTGTTAACAACTTAAAATTTTTAAATAAACGGGTACAAATAAAATTTAATGTGGATAATGTCCGTAAAATAAGTACCTAATCGAAGAAAACTCAAATTTCAAGATGAACACGAAAAATTAAATAAGTAACTAATCGAAGAAAGTTTGGATTTTAAATCACCCTCACCAAGTTGTAGCTCCGCCACTGCATAAAATCTTTAATGCACCATCCATAACATTTTAAATTTAATTCTATTTCGATCTCAATTCTAACATTCTCAAAAAAAAAATCTATCCAACACATCTTGAATTCAATTATTTTTTAAAACTAGATAATCCGTACAGTCAGTAGCAGATTCAGAAATATTTTTGAGCGTGGACATTCACGTGTTAACAACTTAAAATTTTTAAATAAACGGGTACAAATAAAATTTAATGTGGATAATGTCCGTAAAATAAGTACCTAATCGAAGAAAACTCAAATTTCAAGATGAACACGAAAAATAAAATAAGTAACTAATCGAAGAAAGTTGGATTTTAAATCACCCTCACCAAGTTGTAGCTCCGCCACTGCATAAAATCTTTAATGCACCATCCATAACATTTTAAATTTAATTCTATTTCGATCTCAATTCTAACATTCTCAAAAAAAATCTATCCAACACATCTTGAATTCAATTATTTTTTTAAAACTAATTCAATACGATCATATCTAAAATTGTTTCGAATATGTTCGATACTCAGAACAAAAACTTAAAAATTAACTCGGTAGAATGAAAGCATATTCTATTTTCTTAAACAATAAATTTAATGTTTTATTGACAAATCATCGAACATAATTAAATTTTATTAAATACATTATTTTCATTAATTTATTAAGAAAACACTTTAAATAAACTAAAGCAATAAGAAACAATCACTAACTTATAACATTATCAAATAACATTTTCTTATGTTGCTTTTCCTCCTAAATCGGATCTGATCAAATCGGATCAAAATTCACCAGAATCAGAAGTTATTACCATTAACTTGATGGGATATTGATACATAAACGTCAATTTTTTTCTTTAAGTGTTAATCGAATCAATTTTTTTAAAAATTAACCGAACTGATTTTTTAATAATTTTTTAAATTAGATTAATTTGAGTTTAATAGAGATATGTTTTATTCGAGCTAAAATTTAAATCGGGTCTTAATAATTCAATGAGTCTAGTATGATTAAAAAATAATTAGGTCGTAATTCTTCACGAGCTTTAGCTTAAAATTTAGTATATATAATATTTAAAATTTAATAATTTTATCAATTAATCGATTTTAAACGAATTAACTATTAATTAAATATTAAAAATATAATCAAATTAATTTAATTTAGTTAAAACTGAGAAATGAACTCCCCTAATAAATAAATGGGTAGAAAAGGTGAACAGGGAAAGAGAAAAACAAAGGGATATATTTGATCCGTCTGCTGTGAATGAAGACACGCAAAGCCATTAATGCCCCCCGCCTTTTTATTTTTAAAGCTGACAGCCCCTGCTTTCCTTTGCTTGTCCGCTTCTTGGATTCTCTTCCCCACCAGCGTCATCCTCTCCTACCCTCTTCCGCTCACATTCCATTTCATTCGGATAATTGAACAACATTAAGGCGTTGATGTATTGTGATGATATATTCAAAATTTTTCTTATTTACTCACGATTATGTGTGAATATTTGACAAAAATAACTGTTTGAATCAAAATATTTGACGGAAGTAACATTATTGTTATCATGGAAATTCGTTTTATATAATGAAATAGTGATGTTTAAAATGGTTATCATCGATTAAATTGAATTATTATTAATTTAATTAATCGAATTTTTCTTTAATCATTAACCGAATCGAACAAAGTATATATGGATTTAATGAATTTATCGTGGCTAAAAAAATAGGTCTTAATTTTTAATGAGTTTGAGCTTAAAATATATATTTAATATATATATTTAATAATTTAAATTAATTTGATTAATTTAGTTAATTAACCGATTTCGAATCAAATTAACTATAAACTAAATATTAAAAAATTAATCATTCTTTAACCGAACTAACAAGGTGATCAATCGAATTAACTGAACTGATTTAATTCGATGGATTAATTCAATTAAAACAAAGTAGTGAACTCCCCTAGAGGAGTGCATTTCTTGTGGGATTCACTTTTTTGCCCCACAGATGAGGCATTAAATTTCCCACACCGGACAGCATGGATAGACAGGTGACAAATGAATCATCAAAATCACACCTACTTTCTTTGCTTCCCTCCATGTTTTGAGTGGACCCCCTTGCAACAATCGCCACTGCCACTCATACATTCTCCACTGTACCAAAACAATTTGGGCAGCATAATCAATACCATATTAATTAATCGATTAAAAAAATGAATTCTTTTAATTATCGACTTCAATACCTTTTAACTCAAATTGGAAAGAATGAATCATCGTCGACGTCTGTAATCATCAAGCTTCCCGTCACACATCGACGGTCTCAATAAAATTCGATTAAAAATAGGATCCATGCCCATTAAACTACGTTTAAGAGTTAGGTTTGAAGCACACTTACTTGCAGCATTAAAACGAAGGCACCATTTCGGTAGAGTGAACAGTGGGGGTGGGTTCAGGGTTTAGTTTGGAGATTAGAACAAGCAACCCCATTTGTCCCCATCGGCATTGCACCACGCGCACGTGGGGGCGTGAAATGGCTGCTTTTTCTATGAAATGATGGGGTAGCGTAGGCCATATTTCACATGCAATAAGAGGCTGAAGCAAGTAAGGCCATTCCGATAAGTAAAGGGCAGAGTGTGTTCCAATTGCCAAAAAGGCCACTTGGAATGTTCAAACCAGGCATCCATTTGCATGGAATTTCACCTTTCAGGTTTCATCAACTCTGCTTTCCTTTTTCTTTTCTTGTATATTCCATTGATATCCGGGCTACATGTCACGAAAGAATTAGGCAAAAAGAATCAAAAGTCCATGAACTTTTGAAAAAATACCAATGCGGCTCTCGTATTATTTTCTCTTCAATGTGACCTTTCAATTCAGAAAACAAACCAATGTAACCATTTGACCAACGTTTTTTTATTGTTGACCGTTACAGTACTAACGTGTCAGTTTAAGATACTGATGTGACAGGTACTAATATTAGTACTAATATAACAGTCCATCTACCATGTTTGAGTTACCAATTTAATATGACATGTCATCTGTCACGTTAATTTGTCATTCTAGACTGTCATGTCAACACGTTAATTTGTCATGAAAAAACGTTGATCAAAAAGTCACATTGTGTTAGAGGGCAACATCGAGAGAAAAAATAATACGATTACCACATTGATTTTTTTCAAAAGTACAAATACCTCTATGTTTTTGCAAAAGAATTATCTTGTTGTACAAGGATAGGTAAATTGTTTTAAAAAGGGTTTACGATTTTTTTTCATACTTGATCCGAATTATTGATGTTATTGTTTTTAGTGGCGGATTTAAAAATCTTTTTGAGTATAAACATCTATATTAATAACACAATTTTGTATTAGCTAGACACAAAAAAGTTTTAGAGCGATAATCAATAAAATAGATAACTAGCGTAAGAAAAT